AAATCAATTTGACTTAGAGGAGAAACTATTTCCTGACTGTGAGTGGGGGCCAGGGAGGGGGTGGAGCGGGCCAGAAGGCAAAAATGGGTTCAGCAAAGTGACAACTCCCTTGGAAAAGTGCCTAAAAAATGGAGGTGTCATCTATGGATCAATTGGAAGCGATGGGAGCTGGGGGAAATTCCTGTGCAGCACTTGCTTTGTGCAAAAACCAACCCCAAATGAAAAAAAAAAAAAAAAAAAAAAGGGGGGGGGGAAAAAAAAAAGGGATTTCCAGAGATGGATTTTGCTCTGGGTGCAGGTTGGAATATACCTCAGCACTCCCTACCTGGCCATGGCACACGGACTGGAGAGCACTGGAAAGTAGAATAGCATGAAAAACTTCATTTTGTGGACATTACCTTTCTGTATTCAGCTGCTGTATGTTTTCTGGGGAGGAGCGGGGGTGGATGCTGCGCTCCTGAGGCTGCTCCTCCTGCTCCTCCTCCACGCACGGCCATCCCAGCGTGATGAGCAGTGTTTCCTAACCATACTTCACTCCCAATATTTTTTTGAGCTGTTTGTATAAAATGGAATTTCCAATTCGCCCGTGATTGTCTATGAACTGCAGAGGAGCCCATTTAGTAATGAAAAATCCAAACCCAGCACCAATGTTTTGTAATATGGGGGTGGGAGAGGACGGGGACAGGGAAAACCCAGACCTTGGCAAACGTTGTAAGCTGCTCCAGCTGGATTTTCCTTCGGTTTCTAGCGGTGGAAGCGTTCCATCAGATTTTCTCTGCTGCACTTCCCGACGCTCGTCACACCGTGTGGCTTTGAACACAAAAATGTTGCTTTAACAGTCATTGCACAACAACAAAAAAAAAAACAGTTTTGTTTATGTTTCAGTCAATGTACATGTTCACCTGCCTCTCCTGTGCGGCTCCCTCCTGTTTTCCTCCTGGTTTTCCCTTCCCAGCAGGAGCAGTGAGGGGATGGTGCTTTTTTTCCCAGCCTCCTTTCCCAGCATGTTGAAGGCAATACCTGGAAAAAAGGCTCCAGGCCCTTCCCTGCTCCTCACTGCCTCTGTTTGCTTCCCAAAACGTGGTGCCTGGTGTCCACTCCTGAGCGACAGCACTGCCTAAAGCCAGCAGAGAAAACAAAATCCAGCACCCTTCTACAAGCAACTTTTTAAAACTCAACCTGGTGAATCTGTCCGATACGGGGTTTTGTGTGTGTGTATATATATACATATATATATATAAAAAAGAGAATTTTGTACAATGTAGCTGAATACTTTCGCTTCCTTCTTTCACTGTAAGGAGACTGAACCCTCATCCTCCTCACCCTTTGGTGTTCCAAGGTGATGCAGATCCCAAGAGAACCTGGTAGGAACCACTCACATCTTAATCCTCCGTGCCAAGCATCAGCCAAGAACTCACTTTAATTAGAAATAACTTTAGGTGGAGATTATAAACATCTAGATCCAGCTATGGCACAACCCCTCCCTGTGGGAATGGTGAAGGTGAGAGGGATCCTGGGGCTCATCCATCCTCTTTGGAGGCTCCCACACCATCTCACAGCGGTTGCTTTGAGAGCTCAGGGGTTTTTTTGAGTCAGATTTCTTTCCCGTGTCCCATCCCTGAGAAGATGGAAGTGCACGTGGAGCAGGGGCAGCTGCAGCGTGTCACTCCCGGCCCTGCTTACACTACAGTTTCAGGGGGATTTACGCCCTGCCCCATGGGAATGGCAGCTTTGCTCAGATTTTGAGAGCGTGCTGAGCTCTGGGATGAGGAAACACCGCTTGCCCTGGACTTTTGGGCAGCTGGGGAAAGGGAGGTCATCAAACCCCTGAACTACATTTTTCTTCCCCTTAAAAATTACTTTTTTTTTTTAATTTGCCCACCATGGAGATGGGATAGAGCTCCCACATGATGGATAGGGCTAAACATCCACCGGTTTCTTCCCACCTGTGCACTTCCACGTCCTTCTGGAGCCAACAAATAGCTCTTCTGAACAATTCTTACCCCTCAGGAGCACAGGGCAGGACGGAGGGGGATACAGGGACTGGGTGGGTGTTTCCCAGTTTGCCACTGCCCAGGGACACATTTTGGGCATCCAGTGGGTGGGCAACACAAATTTGGTTGCTACAGATGTTAAACTCCTCCTCCCAGAACGGCCAAGCCAGATTGTAAACGGGGACAATCCTGCACAGGGTCACAAGTCACACCCGCGTCACCTCAGTCCGCGCGGCCGAGGCACATTCCTGCGCCAGGCTGGGGTCCCCATCCCAGGAAAATGCCACTCCACAGAAAGCCTCAGCCAGACTCTGGCAAATTTCCCATTTCTGTGTTCCCACAGCCAGGAGCCAGCAGCAGACCCTATCCAACACCTGCAATTGCCAGCTCCTGCCAGGAGCTGTCAGAAAAAGGCACCAAATCCCGGAGCAGAGGAAAGCGCGCTTGGCAAATCAACCAAAGGCTTCACGGTGCCGCAGTCCAGCCTAATTCCCCACCACAAAAATCCCAATTTGGACACAAATCCGGGCAGAAAGAGCTGCCACAGCCGAGGGTGGGGGGGAAGCACAGTCATCCTTTTATTGGTGGCGCCTGGGAACAGCGCAGGCACCCGAAAGGGAGGGAAACAGCAGGAAAGCAGGGAAAGGCTCCTGGCCCTGCCAAAACCCAGGGGGCAGAGGAAGTGCCAGCGTTGTGCCACTAAACCCAGCGTGTCTCAGGGCAAGGGGGCTGTGTCACTGCTGTCCCACGAGGAATTGGTGACCCTGGATTCCGTGGATCGGGACAGTGGGAAGCCGGGGGGGTCTCCAAGGGGTCCGGCAGCACGGTGCGTCCCGCCGCGGCCGAGGCAACGCTTTTTTGGTGCCGTTCCTACAGATTTTGTGGGAGGAAAGAAAGGAGTCTGGGGGGGTCAGGGGGAAGGGATGCTCCTGCCAAGGTGTCAGGCATCACATACCTCTGCATCAGCTTGTGGATGAGCAGCTGGATCCAGGGCGCCTCGGGGGCCACGCACACGCGCCTGTTCTTCTTCAGGGTGAGGCTGCAAGGCCAGGAGGCCCCTCAGCCCCGTGCACGTCCCTTCCCCAAAGCTTTTCTAACCCACAGAGAAAACCCCTCCGCTCCCTCGGCACGGATACGATCCCTGGGTGACACAAACGTGGAATTTTGGGGCCTCACCCTTCACACCCTGAGCCACACAGGGAAGGAACCCCCTTGCAACAGGGAAGAGAGTCACCCCAACATCGGTGGGCTTCCCCCACCACGTACTTCTGCACACTGGAACAATTTGCAGGGGTTGGTTTCCAGGCTTTGCACTTACATGACCTCCTTCCTCCGGCAGTGAATGCCCGGCGGGGTAACGTCGATGGTGAGGATCAGCCCCAGGTTGATGACGTGGGCGGTGGATTTGATGCACTTGCACCTCATGTTGGTCAGCAGGCTCTCCAGAGACAGACCTGTGCCCCAGGACAGCCCACACCAGGTCTGGGAGCCCCATGGGGACACCCCCTCGCCAGGATCCCATCCCCGACACCCACGGGCTGCTGCTCATGGGGTTTGCAGCTAATCCCTCCCAGCACAGCCTCGGACCTTCTCTTCCTGTACATGGAAGGGGTTTTAGCTGCAGGCTTGGAAAACTTAACCAACATTTCATGAATTCAACCCAGCAAGCACTTGAGTTTTGTGGGGGTCTGAAAGAAAAAGCAGCCTAAAGCCACGAGGCAAAACCCCCCTCTGCACCCCCAGTACTCCCCTGCAGCTTGAGCCACAAACTCAAGCTCAAAGGCAGCCAAGAAACCCATCTGAAAGCTTACGAGAAGCCATGCTCAGCCCCATCTGGGACACCCAGTGCCACTGTCTGGGCGTTTGGAGGGGAATGTGGATGGACAGACGGCCCAAGGCACTCACCACCCCCCGGCACCGAGCTGCTCAGGAGCAGGAGCAGGGCCAGCGCCGCCGGCAGCAGCCGCATCCTCGCTGCCCGCCCCGAGCTAGGCCAGGCCTGCTTTATAGCCAGCCCCTCGCCCCAGAGGGGGATTTCACAATCCCCCTCCAGGGCTGGGAAGTGCCAGGGGGGGTGGAAAAAGGGGCAGCCCCACACCTCAACTTCCCTGCCATCGCTTCCCCCCACGCTGCACGTGGCCCGTGCTGCCTACCCACCAAAAAGAAAGCAGAAAATGCCGTGGCCTCCTCATCAAACCCGCCGTGGTTTTGGCCAAAGGCTGGTGCCCCCCGTGCCACCCTCCCCAAGCACCCCAAGCCCCTGGCATGTCACATGAAGGGAGGCAAGGAACAGTGACAGAAGGCCACCACCTTTATTGGGTCGTGCCCAAAAGGGACACCCAGCGCATGGCTCCGGGATGGGAGAGGCTGGAAGCAGGGATGGGCATCTCTAAGGGTTTAGAAGGGTTTAAAGGCATAAAAAGGGGTTCAGGCAGCAGCATGCTCCCCTCTGGACCGGGGTAAGGCAACACCAGCATGGGGAGGAGAGGCAGTTTTGGGCCCAGCACATCTGGCCGCGTCTCTGGCGGCAGCTTCCTCAGCGGGGAGCCTTTTTCTTCCTCCTGCCAAAAGCAGAAGGGGGAGGAACGTGTGAAGACAGGTTCCCACGGGATGCCCCTGGTCCTGCGGGGAGCCCCTGGTGCTCAGGGCCAAAGGGGAGCTTACAGCCGAGGGAGGTCCTGCAAGAGTTTCTTCACCCAAGCGGTGTCAGGATCCACACAGACCCTCTTCAGGCTCTTTAGCTTAATCCTATAAAACACGGGGCCTTTCACTTCCCCTCCTTGCAGGCTCCCTGCTCGCAACCAAAACCATCAGGAAAGTGAAGAAAGAAAACGGGGAAGGAGGGCGGACCCCCGGGAGCCACTTACACCACCTGGAGGCGCCGGCAGCTGCTCCCCACGGGCCACACCTCGATGCTGCTGTACTTCTCCGGGGGGATGAAGGCTCGGGTGCTCTTGAGGCAGCGGCAGCTCAGGTTGCCATTGGCTTCCAGGATTGCTGGAGGGGCTCACACGCATCACCTCAAAAGCCGCTGCCAACCCCAAAACCCTCCCCGGGCAATGCATCGCCCACCCCATACCCAAAAAGCCTGGCAAACCCCACAACCCCCAAGCCCAGCCGTGGGGCAGGGGAGCCTCACCTGTGTCCCCGGGGCGGTGGGACAGCAGCAGCACCCCCAGCAGCAGGGCTGCCCGCACAGCCATGCCGGCCCCAGCCCCGGCCCCCATCCCTCTCCCTATTTGAGCTGGGAAATAGGAGAAGTGAGGCGGCGCGGGAGGCCCCGGGGTCGCCGTGGTTTTGCCCGACCCCTCTCCCTGCTGACGATAAAACGTGGCTTGGGGCTTGGCAGGGGGGGGGCAGCTTCCCGAAACCGGCTCTGCTTTCCCCTTCCTTTCTTTGTCGTTTCCTCCAGATTCTTAAGAACCTCCTGGTTCTTAGCGCTCACAGCCCCACGAGCCCCGAGGTTTTTTGGGGTGCTTCTCTGTCCTGCATGATCGGGTATTACTCATTTCTCCTACAGCCAATTCCCCCCCCAGCAAGGCACAGCCCAGCAGCACTCTGGTGACATTTAATTTGGAATTTTTTTTACCCCAAAACTCTGCCAAGTGACTTCATGCCCGTTCCCAACGTGTTTCCTTACTGACCCAGACTGGTTTTTAAAGCCTTACAGCCACCAGTAAATCCCAGCTCCATCACTTGGATGTGAGGCACTTGGGCTGCATTGTCCCATCTCCCAGGCTGCCCCTGGATCCTGGAGGTATCCAACACCAGGTTGGACAGAGCTGGGAACAACCTGGGAAAGCAGAAAATGTCCCTGCCCATGGTAGGGAGTGGGACTGGAGGGGCTTTGAGGTCACTTGTAATCCAAGCTGTTCTGTGATTCTATGTCATACATGGCTTCTAAGCTAGGAGACCCAGGGGAAACGCAACAGAAAGGAAAACCCTGAAATTTATTGGACTTGAGCTTCCAGAAAAGGACATGCCACGCTGTGCCACAGAACCCTCAGACACACGCTCCGTCACCAAGCACTTCACATGGAAAAAGTCACAAAGTCATTCCTAAAGAAGCAGGAGCAGCCCCTGCCAGGGAAGAGCTTCGCAGTCCACAGGCAACTAAACCAATGAAGGATTGATTCACATTCACGTTGATCCAGGGACCAAGAGCAGGGGAGAACCCCCCCACAAACCTGCCATGGGGCTGGGGCCAGCAGTGAGCCACTGTCCCCACAGCCACTGCCCCCAGAGCCAGACGTGGGGCTTTCGGGGAGGAGAAGAAGCGAGGGCAAAGTGAGGAGCAGCCAGGTCTGCACACCTGGGCATCGTCTGCCAGCCCGCCTCGGGGCTCTGGGCACCAACTTCCTTAGCAGGAAACTTATTTTTTCTTCCTGCGAAAAGCAGAAGGAGGAGAAATGTGTGAACACAGAGAAAAGTGGCTCTGGGAGAGGAAGCTCCTGTCCCAGCCGAGGGAAGTCGCTGCCGTTTCCCCGCGGTGGGCATCGCTTGCCGGGATGGCCACAAACCCAGCGCAGGCACAACCGAGGACGGCAGCTCTCCCAGCCCTGCAGCTCTCCCAGCCCTGCATCAACACACTACTGCACCTGCCACCAGCACACCCTGCTGCTCCTGCCACTGCTCCCCTCCTGCCTGTCCCCCCAAACTGTTCTGGAAGTGCAGCACCATGCCAGGTGATGCTCCAGGAGGAGCATCACCCACAGATGGGTCATGTTGAGTTGAACACTGCTTTGCACAGCCAAGTGCTGCTCCTCCTCGCTTTGGAAGTGGCTCCTTTGGACAGCAGCAGAGAGCTCCTGGGCCCAGGAGAGCTTCCCAGAACCATGGATGTGCTGGGATGCTGTCCAGGGACACCTGAGCCAAACGAGTTTCCATCCAACAACTTACGTGCTGGCGATGCGCTTCAGCAGCTTCTTTACCCAGGGGGCTTCGGGATTCACACACACCTTCCCTGAGGTTCTTAGTTTAATTCTGAAACGCAAGGAGAGCTCCTGAGCATTCCTGCCCCCTCCAAGGGCAGGGATTCAAGCAGCCAGAGCTGATGGGCAAGGCTCAGCTTTCACCCACAGCACCAGCGATTGCAGAAAGCTGCCAGAGACAGAGGAAGCCACAGCATGGCCGGGAACAAGCAAGGCACAACACATGAAGCAGAGACCTGAAGCCCAGAACATCGCTCAAAGACAATTTTTTCTGGAGATTCTCAAATGTAACGACATCCAGCAGCTACAAAAACCTGGGAAAATCGGTTATGGCTCAGTGTCTGAGGAAATGCTTCCTCTCCAGGTTGCAAACACCTCCAGCTCCAGGAAATCACCCTTTCCCCTGCTGGAGAGATTCCTTTAGGCCCTGGAGACCTGCCTTTCTGCACCTGGTGCTTTCCAGCGAGTAAGCTGGTGGCGTTTTTGGACCAGTTTAGTTCCCAGCAAGGCGGCAGAGAAGCGGGATGGCGGCAGCAGCAGAGCCCACGGCACTTACATGATCTCCGTGCGCCTGCAGCTGCTGCCCACAGGCCTTATCTCAATGCTCTCGTATTTCTTGGGACTGATGTATTCCGAGGTTGTCTTGGCACACCTACAGCTCAGGTTCCCATTCACCTCCAGGATGGCTGAGAGAGAGAGAGAAGGAAACAACTTACAGACAGAGCTGACAGGGATGCAGCAGCTCCAGGAGCCAAAGCAAGTTCCCCTTCCCATGTTTCCACTGACAGCACTGCAGGGAGCACGGTGACAAGCTGCCTCCTGTTCCCTGCTCCCACACAGCTCCCAAAGGCTACAGCAGACCCCTGCAAAGGACGGCTGTGCTTTTTCCCTGGCAACAAGGCAAGCCCTCAGCCAAACAGGCAGGAGCACCCCAAGCTCCCCCGTGGCTCTGGGCGCAGGATGGTGCCAGCAAAGCCACCCGCAGCTCACCTGCGTGGGCACAGTGGGACAGCAGCAGCAGCAGCAGCCATGGGAGCAGGGGGGCTCCCATCCTCAGGGAAGGCTCAGCCCCACGGATGCTCTGCGGGACGGGGCGCACCGACACCCCTATTTATCGGGGAGGGTCACGCTCCGACACGGAATTCACACCTCAGCAGTCACAGCTGGCTGGCAGAGCACGGAGACAGGTGATGTCATCTCTCAGATGCTCCCCACAAGCTCAGTGGGCAATATTATTAATTAAAAGCAGCCATTGGGACGGAGAGCGACGTTTGGAGCCCCCACGCATGTCCCCCACGCCTTGTTCCTGTACCCACATCGCCCTTCATTCCCTTGAGCATTTGCCCCCCAGCCACAAAAAAAGCCCAGAATGAAACCAGAGTGCAAGCCCCTGACTAAGCAGGGGGGTTTTTAGTCTACTCAAACATTTACATATTTCTTTCTTGAAGCTATATTTTTCCCCACGCTATTTTTGCTGCCTCTCACATCAGCGAAAACGCCTCACGCCGTACCGTGAAAAAAAACCAATGGTGATCTCCCTGCTCTGTGTTTCCACTCAGATCTTTCAAATTTCACACTTGGCTGGGTGAGGAACTCACCCAGGATGGCCACAGGAGCACCCCATGCCCTCGGGTGCTGGTGAGGTGGAGGCTTTGCCCCGGATAAAGTCGGCCAAGTCACCAGTCGGGAAGCAAAAGCGGAAGGGGATACGTGGTGAGGCGAGGAGGAAGGAAGAGGGCAGAAGAAAAGAGATGTGGCTGTGTGGTAATGTTGTAATTTGGAGCTTTCAAATCACATCAGCATTTTATATAGTACCAAAATGGTCAATTTTAAAAGAGTCTTTTGCTCCAACTCAAGCTATGCATCTCTCTTTGAACACCTTGTTTTTCCTTCTGAGATAGTCAAAAAATGAGTCCAAAAGTCTCGTGAAGTGCTTGTCCAAGAGATGATTGGAGCCTTTTACTCCCTGTACACCAGGGTCACAGAAAGGCCAGGGACAATTTCCATGAGCTTTTCCCAAAGTCCTGCAGAAAGAATGGGGTGCCTTGCTGTCACAGCAGTGGAAGAGGAGACAGCCTTAAAACGGGGTTTTGTTTAATCCTTTCAGAGTTTTCAATCTCCTTGCAAACAGTTATTAGAAGGAACACAACCAAGGACTGGTTTTGCTGGGTTGTGGCAGGAGTCTCTTGGGAAAAATGGTGGGAAATGCAGCAATTAATCAGAGAGATGTCAGGACACCTATGCAAACTGCTATGGAGGCACAAAAGGCATCTGAAAATCCTTCTGAAGTTCCTGACTACAAAATGATCCTGCTTTTTAGAGCTGGGAGAAAAAACAAGAGAAGTGAAATCAACTTTCCCCAGGGCTGCACAATGGAAAAGATGGGAACTGGAGGAATCCAACAGCATCCCTGGCAGTGCCTAATGAAAACGGTACAAGAAAATTATCCCCAGACACACGCAATGGACAGACCAAGAGGATCCAGATCGTGCCCCTGATTTGTGGCCACAGGGAAGGTGTCCAGCTCCTGCCTGCCCTGGAAAGAAGTGGGAGCCACAGAGGCACCAGCTGGATGGATTCTGAGAGGGTCTGTGGTGGATGGGTAGCGTGTAAGTGATGAGTGCCGGGGTGGTTTCTCAGAAGGAAAAGCCGCAGTCGTGGCGGCGGCCGATATTTCTGCACGACTGTGGCAACTTTGCCAAGGGAGAAGCAGGGTGAGGATGTGAGCTGTGACTGTATTTAAGCTGACTGCTTCCTGGATGCCAGGAATTCAGAGGAGTGGCCCTCACATAGAGATGTGTGGCCTCATCCAGGCCAGCACCAACTGAAACACGTACAAAGCACCCTCACAGCTGCTCTGTTTTCTGCAGCAGCTGCCCCTGGGCAGGCAAGACTTGGATTCTAGCTATTTTTAACCTAATTTTAATTGGATTTTCGCAATATTTTTTACACCTGTAAAAATCCTTTTAAATCCTTCCCATGGTACCTAAATCAGACACCTCCAAAAAAAGCGGTGCAAACAGCACCTAAAGGCCACATGGAAAACCTTTCCATGTTTACCAGGATGGGCAGAAACCCAACCCTGACGTCAGTGCCAAGGAGACGCGGCTCTCCAGCCCTTCAGGGAGGATTCACAAGAGGCTGCATCACAAACATCTGCAGCAAACAAACCTCTCAGCCACGCTGAAACCATTAACTCCCCTTGTGCTGAGAGAAAGTGATTTTTCAGCTTACCCCTCCTCTGCCCACAACTCACTCAGGGCTCCTTGCAGGAGACAAAAAAAAAAAACAAAATAAAAAAAACAAACCAAAAAACCCAAACCTGTGGGGTTTTTTTTCAAAATTATCCCCCAAAAACCCCGACTGCAATCAATCTTCACCACTGTGGTTTGTGGTCCATCACCTGCTTCAAAGATAAAGATGCCTCCTGCCGAAACCCGAGCAACCTGAAACCCACACACACTTCAGCATCAACGTGAGAGCACCAGAATTAGCCAAAGCCTAACGAAATCAGTCCGAAATTAGCTCGGGTGAACAACACATCGAGCTCACTGTCACTTGCTGTCTTCAAGTGAAGATTTGTGACTCGCTGCTGATGCCAAGGGATGAAATTGTGGGTTTGGCCCATTTTTGGAGACAGCAGAGTGGTGTCATGACACCTCTGCAAGCAGATGAGAAACCCGCTCTGGCATCTTGAAATGGATTTGGTGTGCTGAGGGCTAAAGAAGGGAATATGGCAAGATGGAGCTTCGGAAGGGATGGGATGAGGAAGATGGAGAAAAGCTGGGAGCAAGAAGAAGAGAAACTAAAGAAGACTTTTAAGAAATGTAAATCTAATATTCCTGCCTCCCCAGTCCATCTTGAGCTGTAGGACCTCTGTGGAGCAGCTTTCTGCTGAAGGGACAGGAACAGCAGACATTGCCACCGCACGGCCCCACAATGGGGACAGTCTCTGGGAAGTCCTGACCACCCCAGAGATGCAAATGGCACTGAGCAAGAGCAGGAGAAAAGCCCCAGACTGCTGTGCCAGCTGGTCCTTGCTGCTAGAAAAGCACCGTGGAGAACACCCAGGCACGCCCTCGCTGCTCCAGAGCGCTCGACTCGTTTCCAGTCCCAGCTACTCCAAAACAGATCCAACGCCGAGCAGAGACGTGGCGTTGTTCCTCAACTGGAATAACTTCTGCCTGGCACAGAGGATGTGGAGCAGGAATGGGAGGCAAGGACTTTCCCAGGAAGTGTCACTGGGGCCGTGTGCCCCGGCTCCCTGCCCACAATTTGCATGTGGGCACAGGAACCGGTCTAGACGCCGCAGGTGCCGCCGAGCCCGCGGGCGCCGTTGGCCATTTGCATCGGGCCACGGTGTGACAGTGATGGCTCAACCCTGGCTGTGGAGCAAGGGGATGAGGAGGGACACCTTCATCCTGTGGGCAGGAGGGAGCCAAGGAACAGCAGCTGGGGATGCCATAAGCGAGGAGACCCAGCCTTGCTGCCCTCGTGTTCTACATGGCTGGCTGGGAGGAAGGTCTCTGGCTTTCAGCACTTCCTTCCTTCTGGGGCTGGTGAAGAAGCGCTCCAGGTCCGTTCACAAAACCAAAACACGCTCCTGGAAACTCCTCCAGCTACATCCAGCCTGTGCTTCATGAGCTGGGAAGTTTCTGCTGAGCTGTGATTGCTGGGGCTGAGTTATTCCTACTGGGGCGGCACATTCAGGCAAACACCTGGCAACAGTCCTGGCACCCAGGCTCTCCAGGAGTGCTATGGCAAAGTCTCCTCCCCTCCCCCTTGAAGTCTGACATCTTGATAAATGCAGCTTCAAGTTTGGTTAGAGTCTGGTAAAGCATTTTATATTTTTCCCATTATTCGTGCTTTCCGTTTCAGTTGAGCCCATCATTTAGTTGTCTCCACATTAATTGCAGAATAACCCAGAACTGTTATTTCTGGTAGAGCTTAACCGGGCCTTGACCCATGTTCTTAAGTCAGAAGACAGCAGGTCATCCACGGAAAACAGCACTTCTCCTCAACCACACACAAAGGTAAAAACACTCCAGGAACGGACCCCAACTCGACTGTGCATCTTGGCCTCACATCCAGAGTTGTTATTCATGTCCTCTAAATGTTTTGAGGCCCTTCCTCCTCTTGCCAGGCATCTCCCCACTTTTTCCCCTTGGGGAAGATGCTTTCCCCACATTTCACCCACTAGCCACCATAGGAGCACAGATTTTTATTTGAAGAAAAAAAAAACCAAACCATAACAAGCCAAGAGCAAGTGTTCTCCAGCAGCAAGGAGAAATGCACATGGCAAGGAGGGGAAATCCAGGTCTTCACTGAGAAGGAAGCTGCAATACCAACGAAATGAGCAGCCCTCCCTTTGGAAAGCCCCTTGTCCACATTTCTCTTTGAACTGGCACCCCTGAATCAGCACTCACACTGGGAGATGCTCCCAGAAGAGAAACTCCAGCCCAACTTCTGCAAAGGAGGTAAATCTCAGCAGCTGAAAGAATCGATACTGAAAGGAGATGTCTTGGGCTTAAATAAGCCAGCACTGCTCAGATTTGGGGGGCTGAAAGAAAGGTGGGTGGAGCACACAAGTTGTGCACCAGGCTGGGAGGTGACCAAGCTCGGTCCTGCCAGGTGGAAACGGGGAGGGAGATGAAAGGGCAGCGCACAGGGAGAGAAGAAAGGCTCCGGGAGACACATGAAAGTGAAACCAAGAAGCACAAAGCCATAAAAACCATGAAACCCTCTTTGATCTTCCCTCAGCTTTTATCTCGCCTGTCACTTACGACACACACCCTGAGAGCTAATAAGGCCGAAAGACTCAAATCTGTCACAGGGCACAGCCTTGGGTTGGATACAGAACATTCCTGAAGCTGTCTGGCTATCTCCCCTCCCTCCCATACCCCACATTCCCGTGGTGTTTGGGGCAGCAAGGAGTGAGCATTTCACCTGGCAGCTCCGGCCATGTGGAGCACGAGGAATGCACTTGGAAAGATGTCTCCCAACATAACCTAAGCACAACAAATGAGGGACTTTCCTCTTGCCTCCAGGTCGGGGCTGGGGGAACGTGGGCAGCTTAAATGCTGGCATTTTGGAGGTGCAAGGTTTAGACTTGCCGTGGCAGGAGTCTGCTGTGTAAAAATAAATTAAGAAATAAAAAATAATAAATATATATCTAAAAGCACCGCCTAGGTTCTCATTTCGCAGCGCGTGCAGGCTCAGAGCTGGGAC